GACCTCAAAAGTCCCTCCCAATTCTGTTATTCTTATTCTATTGCTGAAAGCCCTTTTGAAGAGTAGCCTACATCGTTAGAGATAGGGTCTCATTTACAACGGAACGAACCGCTCTTTAGCATTGCTTTATTCTCAATTTTGGTGAATGTGCCATCTGCAAAGTGGAGTCCTAACCAGGAACAAAGATCAGGGAATTTGAAGAGCAGCCAAAGAGGCCCACCTGAAGATTCATCCTTCCTTGTCATGGATGAATTTGTGGGCCACTGGAGAAGCAGCGTTTGCCCCTGTTATTCCCAACTATAGAGGTTGTGATCAGATTTCCAAATTGTACTGCTTTTAATGAAGGACTCAAAGTATTCGGCTATGGGGATTTAGCCTTTTAAAACTAAGTTAGTTCTGAAACTTTAATTCTTTTAATGAGATGATTATTATTTATTTATTTATTATTTAAATTTATATACCGCCCTATCTCCCTTACGGGACTCAGGGCGGTGAACAGGCAATAATAAAAATCACAATAAATATTGAATAAAAAGCCTGCTCTAAAATACCCCATATAAAACCCCTAGCAAAGCCCAATCAAAACTACGCCAGGCCGGCCACATGGAATAGATGGGTTTTCAAGGCTCGGCGGAAGAGGCTGCCTTGATTAACCAATGGTCAAAAAGATGACATCACTGTCATTACATCACTGTAACAACAACAACGATGATGATGATGGTCTCACTAGCAATGTTGCAATGTGTCAGAGGTATGTGTCCTGACCTTTGTATGGCTATCTTCCCATGACATGTGAAAACTGAATTAGTGGAAGGGTTAGCAGGTTGCGAGAACTCTAAAAAGAGGTCAACTGACCCAATCAGTTAATTTCTAAAGTGGCATATTTAATATCTTATGGCTAACCAGGGGCCCTCTGGATTTTGCTTCCAGATCTGATAACTCTTACTTCAGTGATGGCGAACCTTTTAGAGACCGAGTGCCCAAACTGCAACCCAAAACCTACTTATGTATCATTGGGTGCCGGGTGGGTGTGGCTTATTGGGTGGGCATGGCCAATTGTGTGGGCGTGGCTGCGGTGGTAACAGCAAACTGGGTGGGACTAAAAAGTTCAATCAATCAATTCCAACTTTGCAAGATCTTTTTTTTTCCTGCTAGAAGTTGAAATTGATTGATTGAACCTTTTTTTTTTTTTTTGCATACAGCGGCGGAGGCCTAAAGTGAAAAGATTTTATAAAACCCAGCTGAAGGCCTAGGACTGGGGCGATGGCACATGTGCCCACAGAGAGGGCTCTGAGTGCCGCCTCTGGCACCTGTGCCATAGGTTCGCCACCACGGTCCTAGTTGAACATCCAAAGTGGGCCTACAAAAGTCATGGTGGTGCAGTGGTTGGGATGCAGTATTGCAGGCTAATTCTGCTGACTGCCAGCAGTTCGATTCTCACCGGCTCAAGGTTGACTCAGCCTTCCATCTTTCTGAGGTCAATAAAATGAGGACCCAGATTGTTGAGGGCCAAAGGCTGACTCTGTAAACTGCTTAGAGAGGGCTGTAAAGTACTATGAAGCTGCATATAAGTCTAAATGCTATTGCTACAAGGATGGTATACATTGGCTACCAGCAACACATTCCTTAGGAGCTGCTTTTTGTTTTGTTTTTGAAATGTCTGTATTCCTACCAGCTGAAATGCAATGAGACCATAACATAACCTAAGTGATAAACGGGGAATTGCTCTCTGGCACTGCAAGAGGATGGGACAGTTGAAGGAATGCAATGAGAAAGTATCTGAATTTGAGCTAATTCCAACTTCATACCACATTCCATTAAAGACTGGCTGTCAGAGCGCTGACATTTTTACTATTTTATCTGGCTAACCAAACACCAATAAAAATACTTTCTAGGATATGATGGGAAGGGAATTGGGCTGTTTGATGAAAGTTCTATTTTTGATGGGAACGAGGTCTGCATGCGATAAGCTTAGGTTGCCTCTTTCATTGCTAAATTGCTTGTAAAGTTGTAGAACATCATCAGAAAAGTCTGGTTTCTCCAGATATCTACCAACTTGATTATAGCTTTATTAAAAGGCTGGCTTCCCTAAAGAGACTTAGTGGGAAGAAATTTGGAATTCAGGCCTACGGTAACTTGGCTGTATTCATCTTCAATGAGAGATTAAAAAAATCAGCAGTATTCATGGAGTGGTTAAAATTTTCAAGATGGTGGGTGCAGCTGTGCAAGTGAACTTTTTCCTCTTTTATACTTGCATGCCAAGGAATCGGGTATCAGTGGTGATACGCCAGGAATAAAATTTGAAAATCTAAAAAGGGGAGAAGTCTGCACCAGTTAAATTATGGTCTACAGATAAAGATCAGTTCAGTGCATTAAATATGATCTGACAAAGAATATAGTATTAAAACCAGAATCATGGCAAAAAAACTGCTAAAGGGTACTCAACTAAATGCTTTAAAATGTGTTTTGGAGAGTGCAATGCCCTGCTGCATTGTGTGTGTGTGGGGTGTGTGTGGGGGGGTATATCAAAAGTGTCAAGATTGTGATGTGACAGTGTGATTAAAGCCCCACCCTTTTTAGAATACAGTAGAGTAGAGTAGAGTAGAGTAGAGTAAGTAGAATAGAATAGAATAGAATAGAATAGAATCTGGAAGGGACCTTGGAGGTCTTCTAGTCCAGCCCCCTTCTAGTCCAGTCCCTGCCCAAGCAGGAGACCCTATACCATTATGGACAAATGGCCAATCTCTTCTTTGAAATCTCCAGTGAGGGAGCACCCACAGCTTCTGGAGGCAAGTTGTTCCACTGATTAATCCTTCTCACTGTCAAGAAATTTCTCCTTAGTTTCATATTGGCTCTCTCTTTTGATAAGCTTCCACCTGTTGCTTCTTGTCCTGCCCTTAGGTGCTTCGGAGAATAAATTGATGTCCTCTTCCCTATGACAGCCCATCAAGTATTCAAATACTGCTATAATGCCACCCCTTGTCCTTCTCTTCGATAGCCTGTCTGCAAGGAGTATAAATCCTTCCGTTTCCCACCATCCAGTCAGAGCTGAAGAAGCTTCTTGGATGAGAAGCGAAACGTCTTCAAAGGAAAAACAAGGAAGTCCAATTGCCTCGTGAAAAAGCATCTTTGGGACATCCATCACTGGAGATTTTAAAGAAGAGACTAGACAGCCACTTGTCTGAAATGGTATAGGGCCTCCTGCTTGACCAGGGGGATGGACTAGAAGACCTCCAAGGTCCCTTACAGCTCTCATTCTGTTATAACCTTCCTCAAGGCTTTTCTTAAGTGTCTTTAGCTCAGTAAGTCCTGGGGTTCACTCTGTCTGGCCTTATTGCTGGTGGCTGTTAACGAGATTGACTTAAAATCCAATCAAAATATTCCCTCTATCCTTGTTTTATAAAGTCATTTTTTTTTGCATTGTCCTATTGATTTAAAGTTTCCCTAAGGATAAGAAATATCTAAAAACATGTATCTGTATCCTGCAGGGGGAGATGCTACCCTTCTCCCAAATTCCTATATAGGTCAAGTCTTCTTTGACTTGATCCCCTTGGCCTGGTGGTTTAATAGACCTGGTTGTGTTGTTTTCTTGGCGGCAAACTTGTTTGCCCTCGGCTTCTTCTGACAAGCTTTACTTCTCTCATGTAGCAAAAGCCCTGGGTGATTGATTGATTGATTGATTGAGCATATATGCCCCCCAACCCTACAGCAACTCTATATTGGATGGTACATATCCCCCCTCCAAAGTACTACCTAGGCCTGACCTTGCTCAGCTTCTAGTGAATCAGATCAGCCAGAGGCTAAAATGGATTAAGGGTTAGCAGTTTGATTTTAGTTCTGTTTAATACACAAGGATATTTTGATGGGTTCTTCCTTCCCTCATTTTGTGCTGATGACGACAAAGAAAAGAGAGACTAAAAAGAGGCTAGGAAAATGGAAAACGACGCAACATCATTCCCATTTTAACCAAGGTAACCCTTAATATTATTCTGAAGGAAGAAAGGAAGGGAGGGAGGAAGAAAGGAAAGGTGGGAGGATGGATGGATGGATGGATGGATGGATGGAAGGAAGGGAGGGAGGGAGGAAGGAAGGAAAGGGAGGGGAAGGAGGGAGGGAGGAAAGGAGGGAGGAAGGAAGGAGAGAGGAGGGGAGGGAAGAAAGGAAGGAAGGAAGGAAGGAAGGAAGGAGAAAGGAAGGAAGGAGAGTGGAGGGGAGAGAAGGAAGGAAGGAAGGAGAGTGGAGGGGAGAGAAGGAAGGAAGGAAGGAGAGAGGAGAGGAGAGAACGAGGAAAGAAGGAAGGAAGGAAGGAAGGAAGGAAGGAAGGAGAGAGGAAGGGAGAGAAGGAAGGAAGGAAGGGGAGGGGAAGGAAGGAGGGAGGTAAGGAGAGAGGTAGGAAGGAGAGAGGAGGGGAGAGAAGGAGGAAGGAAGGAAGGAAGGAAGGAAGGAAGGAAGGAAGGAAGGAAGGAAGGAAGGAAGGAAGGAAGGAAAAAGGGAGGCTGGGAAAGAAGAAAGGAAAAAAAGAAAATGTCCTAAAAAGGACATTTTCCCAAGTTGGAGAAAGTGAGATTCCATTTAATATTTGGTTGATCTCTATATTGTCTGGGACTCTGCCACATATGGCATACCGACCATGGCTGAAAAAGCTGTGCGAGGGGAGATGGGGGGGGGGGGCTGTGAGGAGAGTTGTGCTTTCAAGCATCCAAAGGCCCCTTCCCTGTGAGAAAGCTCACGGCCAAAGAGCTCCATGCACGTTCTCAGGCTTGAGGCCAAAAGGGCCGTGGATGAGTCATGCATTTTTGGAGAGCTTTTGGACCGGGAGGGGGGGAGTGAGTGATGTCATGGTCAGTGTCCAGCATTCCAAAAAAGCCAGCAGAGAGCGGCCACTGATCCCAGGGTGGAGAAATTCCAGGCATGTGAAGAATTTGGTCCTGGGAAGAGAGTTAGTTCCTGGGAAATTCAAGAAAGGAGAACTCGGCGCATCCCATATGGTTTAAATTTACCTTTAACATAGTGCCATGCATAAACTGCATACTTCTGATGTCCTTAATCCTGTTGGCTAAATATGGAGCTTCAAGTCTGCTGGTTTTCTGGACCTTGGTTTTTTCTCCACGTGGGTTGCATCTGGGGGGGGGGGAGGAGAGGAAAAGAAAAAAGAACATTGAAATGGCTGCATGTGCTCTGACCATTCCTGGTTTGTCATATCATTTCTGGAGATTCCAGAAGCCTTCCCCAACCTCTCATCTCCCAGCTGTAGGATTACATCTCCCATGATCCCTGGCTTTGGGGGTCATGCTGCTGAAGGTGTTAGCAGTCCTACATCTCAGGGACATCTTGAAAAAGCTTGCTTTAAAGGATCTCCCCCCCATCTCCAGGACTTGCTATTACTCCATTCCAGCCCCAGGATTTGGGAGGCAAGTTTGTTCTAGTCTAGTGGTTAGGGCACTAGGCTAGAAGGCGGGAGACTGAAAGCTGGCTGGGTGACTTTAGGCCAATCACCAGGAGAGGGTGAGTTCTAGTCCCTCCTTAAGCATGAAAACCATCTGAATGACTTAGGCCAGTGATGGCGAACCTTTTAGAGACCGAGTGCTCAAAAACCACCCCGCCCCTGCCCTGCCCGCCACCCCGTGCCCCACCTGCCCGCAGGGCCACCCGCCTCCACGGCCCGCCACAACAGATCGCCCAGGCAGCCCAGGAGGGCCATGGTGGCCACACCCTCCACCCGCCCCCTGCAGCATCATCTGCGCATGATGGAGCGCGAGGGCGGAGTCTTGTCCCAGCTACCCAGCTGCCATGTCCTTGGCTGCGCTGCTCTGCACGGGCTGCTTCTGGGGGCGACTCTCCTCTGGGGGGGGCTGCTGGTAGGAGGGGGCTGTGCGGGGAGGCAGGGCTGGGGCGAAGGCACGCGTGCCCACAGAGAGGGCTGTGAGTGCTGCCTCTGCCACACGTGCCAGAGGTTCGCCACCACTGACTTAGGCCAATCACCAGGAGAGGGTGAATTCTAGTCCCACATTAGGCATGAAAGCCAAATGGGTGACTTTGGGCCAGTCCCTCTCTCTCAGCTCAACCCACCTCACAAGGCTGTTGTGGGGAAACTAGGAGGAGGAAGGTTATGTCGGATATATTCGCTGCCTTGAATTAGTTGTAAAAATAATAAAGGTGGGATACAAAAAAGCAAACGTCAATTGTATAAACGCGGAAGCGATCAGATGAGCAAAGCAAGCGTGCATTCGGTTACTTCAGCTCTCTTTGCAAGTGCCTTAAGAAGGAGAAATGATATTTTTGATGGTCATGAGGGCTCTAAGACTGGAACAGGAGCCAGGGCTCACTCATTGGCCTCCAAGAGGCTTTCAGTCAAACTCCAATGTTTCCTGGCCAGTTTTTTTTTTATCTTTGCTGTCTCAGCTGTTCTGGTGAGCTTGTTTCTTCAAAGAAGGTGGGAAAAGTCAAGAAATGGGTGGCGGGAGACTCTGTGGGCTGGGCCAGGAGGGGCTTGCAAGCCAGCATTGGCACCCGAAACAGAGCCCGTCTGCTTTCGGCTTTGGAGCATGGAAGCAAATTGCAATGCTCTCTTCCCCCCGCCCCAATGATACGGTTTGAAGGCTGCAGGAGAGTCACTTGCAGGCATTCAAAGTCTCAACATAAGCAGCTATTCACAGGTTGCATTATGCCCTACAAAGCATTTGGCCTTAGCATGTTGAGTGAACCCAGCAATGTGCAATAGTTTGTGGCTTAGTGAGATAAGTGGATTCAGTCATTGTTGGTTTTTCAAGTAACCATAATTAAAATAAACCAGGTCTTTAGATGGAGTGATGAGCCCAGCCCATATCTTTAGATGGCTTTCGGGAGTTACAGAGAAGGCCCGATCATGGGACCTTTGAAATTATCACTTTATTCCAGATTTCCTTTTTTAATATAATATTTTATTAGTTTTCTATTTGTACAGTTCATAAGTGCTTAGTGAACAACATGTTGTCTGGCTGAGGAATTCTGGGAGTTGAAGTCCACAAGTCATAAAAGGGCCAAGTTTGAAGACCCCTGATATAAATCTTTCCAATCCCCACCATTCAGACAGACTTTTCACTTCTCTTGGATGAGAAGTGAAAAGTTTTCAAGAAAAAAACTAAGAAAGTCCAGCTGCCTTTTGCAAAACACTTTTGGGATAGCCATGACCTGCATGACTGGGAATCTCCATAAACATTTAGGAGAGATCTTTAATATTTCCTAGATCTCCAAATGACCGCACTGATCATGGGCCAGATTCTTTGGCAGCTGCCTAAAACCAAAGGTTATTTTCTTCAATGATTTTCACACAGTTCTCTTTAGAGCAGTATTTATTGAGAATGCAATGGAGTTACAAGAATTCCAGCAAGTGAACTATTTCCCATTTAAAACTACGGTAATCTCTAAAATACTTTTGGAGAGTTTAAATTTTTTTTTCAATATCCTTCCTATGATTTACCAAAAAGGAGAACTTTCCAGTGCTGATGGAGAAATTTGTAGCTGGTTATTTACATAATTGTTTTCTGAATTCTTATCAGCCTGGGAACCAATTATTACACCAAGAGACTATTTGTATATTATATTTAGTGCACCAGCAGTGACAGTTTCATAGCTGCTCCTAACTGGCATTAACGTATCCATTCTCAGTTTACATCGCTATTAGCTAATCCCAAGGAGCATATTATGCAGCCATTCTTGAAGAATTTTCAAAAGTTTACATTAATGTAAACTAAGTCCACCCAAGTGGCTAACTAATACATAGCAATAACATGAGCATATCTGTGAAAGCTATTTCTTACATATAGTCACAAGGAAACAGCTAAAACCAGATTAAGTTGTACTAAAACAAGGATTAGAAGGAAATTTGACATAGAGTAGGCAGAAGAAAAAGGCACACTTCAATTTATAATTATAACAGTTGAAAGGGACCTTGGAGGTCTTCTAGCCCAACCTCCTGCTCAAGCAGGAGACCCTATACCAGGGGTAAGCAACCTTGGCTCTTTTATGACTCCTGGACTTCAACTCCCAAAATTCCAGAGCCAGCATGGAGTTGAAGTCCACGAGTCATAAAAGAGCCAAGGTTGCCTACCCCTGCCCTATACCATTCCAGTTAGTAGTAAAAGGAAACCAGGCCAATAAAGAACATGATGGCTGGACACCATCAAAGCTGACAACAGTCAGAGCATAGAACAACTCAAAGAAGCAGTGCAAGATTGAAGAGACCTGGCCCATAGAATCACCAAGAGTTGGACACGACTGAATGGATAACACCACCCCCATATTGTTATTGTTGTTGCTGTTGTTGTTATTGTTGTTGTTATTATTATTATTGTTGTTATTGTTGTTGTTATTGTGATGATGATGATGATGATGATGATGATGATGATGATGATGATCATTTTATTTCTCTTTGTGTCTTTTGGCAAACAGTGAGACTGAATAAAAATAATTTTTGAACATTATCTTCACAAGTATAAGCTTTTTGGTCCAGCTTCTTCTTCCTACAATGCACTTTTTTGAAAATCATCTTGAATTAGAGAACTCTCCTGAAAAATGACTAATACCATTTTAAAATGATGCCATGGGCAAATTTCTCCAAGAGAGACATGTTATCAGGGTCAAGCAAAAATGGAGCATTTCTTAGAAAAAGAGGTTCTAGGAAGCTGTGAGGATAGAGTTTTCCAAAAGTGGAGCCTTATATGGATTTCTTGACTACGTATAATGCAAAGCATCTAGGGTACACTCAAGTCTTTTTTCCAGATCATGGATTTGCCGATTATGTTGAAATAAAACCACCACCCTTACAGAACGGAGTTTTTCTGGGATGTGTCCAGAGATTTCCCATTGTGTGAAAATGTTCTGGGAATCGGATATTTTGCATCACTGAAATCAAAGAGGAAGAGGAAGGTGAGACATGGCCCAGAAAATCTCAAAGAGGAGATTCCCATCTCTTCTCTGACTTTGGAGAAACTTATTTGGCTACTAATCCAAAGATCTATCAATGGATGAGTCTTCGAGCCACCGAAGAAACTGAAACTGCAATGTTAGACAATGAAAAAAGGACTAGCAGTGACATCATAGCAGTGTTTGAATATTTGAGGGGCTGCCACAAAGAAGAGGGGGTCAACCTATTTTCCAAAGCACAAGAAGCAAAGTATTGAAACAAATGAAGTAGAGAAGCAACCTTGAACTAAGGAGAAAATTCCTGACAGTAAGAACAATCTACCAATGAAATGGCTTGTCTTCAGAAGTTGTGGGTGCTCCATCACTGGAAGCTTTTAAGAAGAGACTGGACAGCCATTTGTCTGGAATGGTATAGGGACTCTTGCTTGAGCAGGAGGTTGGACTGGAGAACCTCCAAGGTCCCTTCCAACTCTATTATTCTCTGTTCTATGTTTTTGTTGTTGTTAGTCGCGAAGTCGTGTCCGACCCATCATGACCCCATGGACAACGTTCCTGTCCTCTACCATCTTCTGGAATCCATTTAAGCTCATGCCTACTGCTTCAGTGACTCCATCCAGCCACCTCATTCTCTGTTGTCTCCTTCTATTGCCCTCCATCTTTCCTGTGCTATGTTAGGTCAACCTATTTTCCAAAGCACGAGAAGGCAAGGCAAGAAACAATGGATGGAAACTAATCAAGGAGAGAAGCAACCTGGAACTAAGGAGAAATTTCCTGACAGTGAGAACAAATAATCAGTGGAACGACTTGACTTCAGAAGTTGTGGGTGCTCCATCACCGGAGGCTTTTAAGAAGAGACTGGACAGTCACTTGTCTGAAACCGTATATCCTGTTCAAGCAGGGGGTTGGACTAGAAGGCCTTCAAGGTCCCTTCCAACTCTGTTGTTATTCTGTTATTTTTCTACAGATGTTCTTCCTGTGACAGTAACTCCCTACCCCCAAGAAAAACTTGAAGACGAGGGGGAGAGAGAACATAGTTTAGTTCTTTAATGTTCCTCCATCTGTTCTTTTTGTTTTGTGTGGAAAACCAGACTCCTTCCAAATTTCTTCCTGCAGCAGAGAAGGGTTAAAGTGCATGAAGATTGTTACCTTTGGCTCCAACTGGCATTCACCAAGAGAAGTATTTTCCATTCAGGTCTGAGCCAAAGGTCTCCTATGGGTTGCTCTGCTAATATCTCAACAGGAACAAAGGAAATTGCCTGTTTGTCTACAAGCAACGGGCAACATTGTGTGCTTAACTCAACAAAATGCCTGTTTAGCACATTGGAGCTTCACCATCCACCCCTCCTCTGCTTCTAGGTTGTCTCTTGTTAGAATCTACCAACTTATCACTATGTTTGTGTGCTGAGCGTAGGAGGAAACTAAAGACAAGTGGCTGCTTTGAACATCACTGCGAGGAGCAGGAGAGACAGAGAATCCTGACCAGATTGTCTGACTTTGGGGCAGATCTGTGGAATGTGATGTTCCAAAGCAATGAAAGCATATCTTTTATTGGATTCTGAGTTTCTCTGAGCTTGGTTGTTTTCCAGCAGATGTTTCTTGCGAGCTCAAATGCCACCATGAACCCAACAGTTCCATCTTCAGTTACATGTATTCTGTATTATTGAAAGAATATGCAGAAAGTCAGGCTCCAGCTTCTTCAGTTACAAGGATCTCAGATAAGATGCCTGCCTGAGCCATAGGAAGGAGAAAATAGCTAAGATGTCTTCTAATCCAGCATCATGATACCCACAGTGGCAACTAGATGCCTCTGAGAAGGCCCAAGTAGGATCTGAAGCCGAAAGTTTGCTCCAATTGGAAGTAAGAGAGGTTCAGGGAAAACTATGTCTGCCTCTGGAGGCTACTAGGGCCATCATGACTAATACTTTTTATGTCTTTCTTCTCCTTCATGAATTTATCTCATCAGAGATTGTCTAAAGCAGAGGTCTCCAACCTTTCTCGGTTGACTGACCAGAGGGAAAGGGAGGGGGAAGCATTTTACGTGCATGCATGTGCACGCACACAAACAAGGCTGTGAGCACATGTGACACAAACAGAGCAGTGGCTAGCACCTGTGCAACACTCAGTAGCACTGAGGTAGATGGGAAATGTCATAGGAAAATGTTTTTAAAATGTTTTGTTATATCAATAAGGGGAATAGAGTATTGTAGTATTTGATTGTGCTTAATTGTGCCTAAAATCCATGTAACCTGTGTGCCAATTCTAAAGAGACAACCTTTTACAAGAAGTGCCAACTGAAAGTCACAGATGGTGTAAGATATTACCGCCT